GATTATAATCTGATATGAGATTAATTCATTTTATACTGGGATTTTATTAGAAATTAAATATAAAAATTTGGAAAAGTTTAAATCTGTTAAATATGGTTAATTCTACATGTATATCTCTTTTAAATGTTTTATTTATTTAATTACTTAAGATTAAGTAGCATGAATTAAGGAATAAACAAGTAGCTTATGATAATTCATATCTTACATCTCATTTAAAGCATCAGTTGTCAAAGAAGAGCTCCTTCTCAGATAGGATGCAAGTTAGTTTTGTCAGAAACTACTTCTTTATTTCTTACTTCATATTTCTTTAATCATCAGAGGGTATTTAACCTAGAAAGTCGTGATGAAACAAGTAGTAATGAAATGAAGAAAAAAAATAATCAAAAATAATTATTTAATATAGTATAATTAAATTTAATTTAATATCAAGTTGTTAAATTTTGACCAAGTTACATATTTAATGTAATAGTTTAACTAATCAATGTTTATGTGCTAAGTAGCTTAACAAATCATTGCAAAAAATTATATAATAATAAATTCTACATCTTCAACATGCATAAAAAAAAAAATTGAGAGTTAGCATAAAAGCATCCATGTCGATAGTTTGTAGAGACATAACTAATTTTAAATGTTCTGCAAGGTGGAAATTGAATCCCTCCTCTTCCTCCTCCAATCTCAGTTTTGTCCTACTAATAAAGAATCAATAGACTCTAATATTGTTTAATACCCTTTTTGTATTTGTACTGATATTTTTCTTCTTAAAATGTGTCTTATGTGTTAGCTATTATTAGTTTCAAAGAAACAAACATCACATTATATTGCTAAGAAATTATGCAACTTTGAGAGAAAAACATCATGCAGTTTTATAAAAGTAGGTGTACCAAACGAGGAACAAACTGTAGAAATTGAAGAAAATTTATTGTTGGTTTAAAAACATATGCAAACAAGTAATGCTTCTTTGGTTATTATCAGATTATATTATCAATTTTAAGCAATTAAATACTTTGATTTAGCTTCCAAATAAATTCTATAATATTATATAATATAGTTTTATAGTTATGTATCCTTGAACCCAAAACAGACTAAGATAATTGATGAACTATTTGTGTGTGTGTATATATATATATATATATATATATAGATAGATAGGAAATCAGTTTGTTTTTTACAATCTTGACATGTTAAAATTATTTTTTTAAAAAAACAAAGTTGATTTTACAACAGCCTTCATCAAATAACATTTGCCCATTTGTAAAAATATAAAGTATTGTATTTTTAATTAAAATATTACATAATTGTACAAGAATAATTAAAGATTTTGTTTCGTTGAATTATGATGAATGTTTTGAGTTTTCAATATAAGGAAACAAATTATGGCTGTATGCTTTTTATTATCTGAAAAGTAATGTAACTTTTTGTGTTGGGAATGTTTCCTTTTTGGTTAATTTAAAAATTGTAAAATTTACATTCATTGTCAATAATAAGCAATAACAAATACCATGTAAATTTAATAATTGCTGCTATTTTGTTTTAGTATTTCTAACTAGAGTAATTTACATTTGGAAATCCATTACAAATAATTTTGGTAAATGAATATATTGTCATGTGTTTGTTCAAAAATACAAGTAGATGATGAACAAGTATGTAACTACTAGACATTTTTGATTACAACTGACTGATTTAGAGTAGATTAACTATTCTTTTCTACAAAGAGTCAGACAGACACTTGAAAGTTGTGAGTTCATAATTAAGCAATATTCTGAGATGTTTTCAACAGTAATTGCCTGATCTGGGGATATGAAATGGTTCAATAGCAGGTGGAAATACCAGGTAACTACCAAGTGTAACAAGCAAGTGATAATTTCATGACACATGACAAGTGACATCTGGTGTGGTTACACAATGGAATTTGATTGTCGATGCCAAAGCCTTTAATTACATTATCCAAACTGCTCACCCATTTAAATTAACATCAAAACTACCTTGATGTCAGCATCACTACTGCAAACAAGTCAACAATAGTTTGAAAAAGCTTTTATTTATCCAACTATTTTGAAATATTAGAACATTTTAGTTATTAGAATGCCATGTCACATTTAAAAAGAATACGTTATACTTTTATTTCTTAGGAAATAGTAAAAAACTAAAATTGATTCATTTACTTAGATGGTTGTATAATGTATAATCATTCCTACAGTAAAATAAAAGAAAAAGTGTTAATTGTTTTAATCATGTAAATCTGTATCAGACTATAGTAAAATAGAAATTTACTAATAGCCGAAAAGTGAAATCAGCAATCTGCTTTAGTTTATCCAAATGCAAATAGTATAATTTACCATATCACCTATAGTGATTGCAGTATCCAAATAAAAATTCTCCTTTTCAATGAGATGACAGTAAGTTGAAATTCAACTTTATCATTGTTCATAACCAATATACAGAAAAATAATTACAATGTTTTTAATAACACCTTCTTGACAAAATTTTAATTTAAAAAAGATCCATCTCAATATGTTTCTTTTTGAAGTTCTAAGTTGGATAAAATAGACAAAAATAAAACAGTACAATTCATTTGCATGAGAAAAGAATACAAATCTCTTATTTTCTATAAAGAGAAGCTAATTTTAGATACATGTAACATGAGCTGTAAAAAAATTAATTAAAATATGCCCAGTTATGTTTTTGTTCTATATAATTGAGTGATGTAGTTTTGGTCCTTTTTTTTTTTTTTTTTTTTTGTACTTCCAGTATTATGAAGATAATCAAATCTTTCTGTATCTAAAAGAAATGGGCATTATTTATAAAAAAATCATTAATTGGAATTTTGATAACAGAATATTTCAGAGAGAATTTGTCCTTGTTTGAAACATAATTTATTCTTGATAAGCAAATTTTACCAGTGGTAGATCTAGTATGAAACTAATGAAACTTAAGCTTTAGGGGCCCTAATCTCAGAGGGGACCCTGAAGCAAGTTTTTTAATGAGTCAATTTTTCAACAAAATCAATATTTTTTTTTTTGTTTTTTTTTTAAAGTGTTTGTTATTAAAATAAAGCCATTTTAGTGATAGAATCATAAGCCAATGGGTTGAAGTAGCTAATGTTGGCCTTAGAATGTGTTCTAATACCCATTTCATATGGCCTCAAAATTCTCCTGTAATTGGTCAAATTTCAAAATTTTCTTGAGGGTTTGCAAGGCCCAAACCCCCAGCTACATGGACTTGTTGAACATGCCAGAATCTATTCATAATCTACATTTCGGAAGTTGGATCCTCAAATTTATTGTTGCTGGTTGCAAAGGGCTCCCTATATATGTCCAAACTTTAAGGCCCATGAATTTTACTTTGTATGAAACAAATGCAGGAAGACAACTAATATGAAACTGAAAGCAATTTTCTCCTGAAGCTTAAATAAAAAACTGGCAAGGACATTAATATCAGCTTATCTCCGATAATTAATTTAGCTGTATCCTCAATGAGAGATACACTTCAATAACAAAGGTTATGTTTGTGGATTTAGAAGAAGCTGCCATGTGGAGTTTTCATTGTGTCAATGAAAATCTGTAATCTAACATTGTCCCATGTTAAAATGATAGAAGAGTTTACTGATGAAGAAATTGTGCTTGAAAGAACAAAATGCAAATCAATTAAAAAAAAAAAACAAAACAAATGTTTTGAGATTTTAGTTAAACATTTTTTTCATAAAAGATTATGAAAAGATACACTTGCAATAACAATATAATAATAATTTATAATTTACTATTGAAGCAACAAATTCTCTATTAAAGCAACATGTGCCATGTCTCTTCAGGACATTGGCAATCATGGTTTTCTACAATTTACCACTCTTTGTAAGTTTTAAAAAATGTAACAACTTCAAAAGAATTTTTCAGATGTTAATAATACTTCACAACATGTCCTGATGGTGTGTTTCCTTTATGTGGTAGGATGGCTTGCATGCTTCAATGGCCCTCAGAGCTATGTGAGCGGGGGCTTTAGCCCTTAGCAGGTCCAGCCAAGCTCAACAAGTCAGTGGGTTAGGACCAGACAAAAGACACCCTGATCCTCCAGGTTGAGGGGTTGTGCAGTAGGCTAACAACCTACTCACTTAAAAACTGGCTTGTTACAGAAACCACAATGATATCTTCAAACAACAACATAGCCAAGGAAGAGTCCTCTAAAGTGGAACATATGATGCATGCTGGTGAAATCCCTGGGAAGCCAGTGCACTGACAACTCTTCTGATGACTAAGTCAACAACCAGGATAGGGACCTAGAACATCAGAACCTTATATGAGACCATCAAAATCGCACAGTTTTGTAGAGAAATGCACAGGTACAAATTGAAGATCCTTGGGCTGTGAGACAAGATGGAACGGAACTAGGAGAACAAGACTAGCGAGTGGAGATGCCACCATCTACTCTGGACAGGAAGAAGGCCAGCCCCACACATGAATACTGCTGCTGATGATCCCCGAAGCAACATGAGCTCTGCTGTCCTAGGAGCCAGTATCATCATGGTTCCTGACAGCAATGTTCAACTCGAAAAGCAGGAAAGTCACTATCCTACAATGCTATGCTCCAACAAATGCTACAGAGATGGAAGATAAAGAGAATTTCTATAAGCAAGTCCAAGCCATCATGGACAAGGTACCAAAAAGAGATCTGAAAATCCTCACAAGAGACATGAATGCAAAACCGGGAGCAGACAATATCAACAGAAAACTGATCATGGGCAGATATGGCATTGGACAACAGAACGAGAATGGCAAAGTTTTCACAGAATTTTGCATCTTCAGTGACCTATTATTATATTGCTATTGCAAGTGTATCTTTTCACAATCTTTTATGAAAAAAATGTTTATCTAAAATTTCAAAACATTTATGTTTTTTTTTAAATTGATTTGCATTTTGTTCTTTCAAGCACAATTTCTTCATCCGTAAATTCTTCTATCATTTTAACATGAGACTACCACCTCATTGTTGCTGTCCTCACAACCAAGCTAAAAGCCTACATTGACTGGGCCTGAAGAGCATCGCACAAAATCAACATAAACAGCCTGAGAGAGAAAGAGAGGGGGAAAGCAAAAGAATTCAAGCTGGAACTGAGGAACAAATTCATGCTGATTTCCCAGCTGCCAAAAGAAACAAGAGAAGAACAGTGGCACAGCCTGTGTGATACCTGGAAGAAGACATGCCAAATAGTCCTGGGGAGGAAACAAAAGGAGTGGTTGACAACAGAAACAAGGGTATTGATCACTGAGAGAAAAGAACTGAAAGACCAGATCAACCAGACCCAAGACCTAGAAGAGAAACAGGAATTGCAAACATGCTACTGGGAGAAGAACCGGGAAGTGAAGAGAAGTGCGAGAAAAGACAAGAGAAACTTCATTGAGGACCTGACCCAGGAAGCCAAGGAAACATCAAAAGGCTGTATGAAATCACAAGGACTCTCTCTGGGAAAAACAGTAAACCTAGTTGCCCCATCAAAGACCAGAATGGCAATACCATCTCAGGGGAAGAACAGATAGTAAGATGGGTGAATTACTTCAAGAAAACACTCAACATACCTGCACCATCCATTCCACCAGACATTTCACCACCTACCAAACTCCTTGTCATTAACACTGGCACCCCCTACCAAGAATGAGATCACCAAGGCCATCAAGTCTCTTAAGTCTGGCAAAAGAGTGGGCCCTGACAGTATACCACCTAAAGCACTGAAGGCAGACATCCAGACTGCAACCATTTTTGCACAAGATCTGGAAGCAAGAAAGAGTGCCTGAAGAGTGAAAGAAAGGCCACCTTGTGAAGCTCCCAAATAAAAGGGACCCGTCATCCTGCAAGAACTGGAGAAGCATTATGCTGCTGTCCATACCAGGGAAAGTACTGACAAAAATCATCCTAGAGAGACTGAAGACAGCATTGGACAAGACACTTCAGGAAGAACAGACAGGTTCCATTTTGGCAAGATAGATCATGTACAGATCACATTGCCAGAATGCACATCATCATCGAACAGTCCCTGGAATGGCAGAACCCCGTATACTCAGTCTTTGTAGACTTCCAGAAAGCTTTTGATAATATCAAGAGACGTCATCTGGAAACTGATGCAGCACTATGGCTTTCCACCAAAGTTTGTCATAATCATCCAACAACTGTATGAAGATGCCACCTGTCAAGTCATCCATGACAGGAAGCTGACAGAACCATTCTCCTTGCAAATTTGTGTTTGTCAGGGATACCTGCTGTCACCGATGGTCTTCCTGTTGGTGGTTGACTGGATAGTGTGGCAGGCATTGCCAGGCAGGAGAACTGGTTTACAGTGGACCTTCATGAAGAAGCTGGAAGATCTGGACTTCACAGACAACATCAGCCTTCTCTCCCACAAACAGCAAGATGCGCAGGAGAAGCTGAGTCATGTTGCAGAAGAAGCAGAGAAGATTGGCCTCCAAATCAACATTGGGAAGACACAGGTCATTAGGGTAAACAACAGACAACAAGACCCAGTGCGACTACACCAAGAAGACATCAAGGAAGTCAATAAGTTTGTCTACCTGGGAAGCATCATCAGTAAAGATGAGGGGACAGATGAAGACATCAAGTATCGAATTAACAAAGCCCAACATGCTTTCAATACTCTGTGGGCAATCTGGAGATCAACAGCCCTCTCACTTTGCAACAAAATCCAGAACTTCAATGTCAAGTCGGTCCTAATTTACAGCTCAGAAACCTGGCAGGTAACCAAGACTCACACCCACAAACTTCAGAAATTTACCAACCGATATCTCAAGAACATCTTCAATATCAGGTGGCCGGAAATCATCTCCAACGATCAACTGTGGGACAGGACCAGACAAGCCCCAATTGAGATTGACATCAAAAAATGGAAATGGGAATGGATCGGCCACACACTCTACAATCCTGCTTTTAGTGTCACCAGGCAGGCAGGCCCCTGACTGGAATCCATGAGGGAAACGAAAAGTGGGTTAACAAAAACAAACTTGGCTCAGAAGTGTTGATGCAGAGGTGAAGGCAGCTGGCACACCATGGGCCGAGCTAAAGAGGATTGCCTGGAACTGCATCCATTCCCCAAGGTATCATGAGGTATAATAATGATAATGATACTTCTTTTATTTTTTTTTTTCAATCATGTCACTCCCCACCCCCATGCAAAGCAATAAACCTAGTAAGATGCAAGGAGTTACTAAGTGTTAGAGAATATGCAAAAGAACACTATTGAAGAGAGAGGACAGTAAAACAACAAGAATTAAGAAGACAGAATATAATGATTGACATCATTTCAAATATATGGATTTCCTAAAAGTACTTTGTCCTATTTGTGGATAATCTCAGAAACATTGGTATGCCATAGAGAAAAAATTGTTACAAATTAATCTATTAGTTTTATGGCTGAGAGCAGTATTCTTCATTTCCTTTTTAGTTTTCTCCACACATTGATTGCATTACTGGGTGTGGTGGTTAAATCACACTGCAGAAGTGTGGAAGGATTTATCAGTATGTAAGGGAAGAGTAGAAAATGCCACATCAGCCTCAAGTAAAGATTATATAATACAAAGCAACACATTTATTTAACCTATAGGCTGGCTATAAAAACACAAGAATGCATATAGATTTATAAGCAGGCAATAACCAATTACTTATCACTTTTCCTTAGGTCTAATAAAAATATTTGTAATATTTAAAAACTTTTTTACTAACAGCTTTATGAAGAATTAATAAATATTTTGTTATTTAGACTTTTTACATGTGAACTATTGTCCTCGTTTTTTTTTTTTGTTTTTACTACATTTCAGTGTCTCTACCCTCTTTCCTTCATTAAGTGTATGTCAATCCAGGTAACCTACAAGGAATTCTGAAGTGAACCCTTTATTTAATCTACAGGGGTAGATTGTTCTTGTTTCACTGCCCATGTGTAGGGAAATCTTGTCTAGTTCTTTTGTTGCTTTTTTTGTTTGTTTGTTTTTTTGTTTTTTTTCAGAAATTCTAAATTAACAATTCATTAAAAGAAATTACAGAAATACAATGAGAGAAATTTCTAATTCTACAAATAGAGGAAATAGCTAATTGGTAGTAAGATATTTGTGTCATATTCTCCAAGATTAATATGTTATTATTGGTTTCATTATTTACTAAAATACATAAAGTGATAATAGAAGAAATGATCCTCCTCATTAAGAAACAATTTAAAAATAAACAAATCAATTATCCATTTTGAAATATTTTATGCAAATCACATTGAATAAACATATAACAAAAAATTATCTGGAAAAAGTAAATATTTGATAAAAATCTTAGGATTTTTGTTTAAATTCAAAAATGAAAAATCTAACATCAAGTCAGAAATAAGCAGTGAAATTGTCAAATTAAAGGAAAATATTAATCTGAAAAATGTAACTCTGCATTCTTTAACAAGAATTCAGAGAGAAAACAAAATCAAGATAAATGAATTATATATAATGAAAATATAAATTTATTAGTAATTGCAGCCAGTACATTATTTTCATAATCCTCAGCAGGACATAAAACAAACTAGTTATTTTATCTATGATTTATGAAATTCATCTTTGCTCTGTACTTTCTAAAGACATAAACCATAAGAAGACTAAATTTGGAGGAAATGCAATTAGGAAATAGAAGAAATAAGAACAGAAAAAATGAATTTTATTTCAATATAAAGCAGATAGCAAATTATCACTCAGATTTAATTTGATTAAAATAACCAGATGTAATAATACAAAGATATATTATTACATATTATTTTAGGTAGAAGTGGAAAAAGATTTTGTGTCAAATGTTTATCTAGGACTTCATTAGACTATGTTTATGTTATATTGATGCAACTACACATGCACATGAATGAGAGATGCTGGGAATTTATATTTAAAGATAATTTTTTTTTTTAATATTTATTTTAATATGTGTTCAACATACTTCCGATATACTTAAGATGCTCTATTAATATATTCCCATGGATTTACTTGATCTTGTAGACAAACTAAACAATACAATAGAATTTACATACGAAATGGAAAAAAAACAATATTTTACTTTTCCTAGATATCCTGCTACCCAACATTAACAGTAGCTTGAATCTTAGCGTCCACCAAAAATCAACTAATAAAACTGATCCCATAAATTTCTGTTCTCATCATAACAAAATAAAATCCAGAATAATCATCGGATTCTATTTACGAGCACTCAAAAATAGAGAAATATATAGCGAAATATATTGAAAATACTTTCAAACTCCCCCAATACCCTATTTAAAATTCAATGCGAAACTAAATGCTCATAAAATATTTCAAAATAGAAAAGTGGTCCTTACTGATAAACCCAACAAATCAAAAAAATATATTATTCTATCCACTATCACAACTACAGCTGAAAAGAATTTATCTGAACTCAACATAAAATTTGTCACAACTATGTCTAAAACAACAGAAGATTTAATATAAAACAAAATAATAAGCTAAAACTTAAAGGAGGAATTTCCTTATTACCTGTAAAAATTGCCACAATGAATACATTGGAAAAACCTCAAGGAATTTAAATAAAAGATTATATTAACACAAAAGGGATCTGCAAAACAACACATTAAATGCATTAGTTTGTCATGAGACTGACCACAACTTTGATTTAAAAAATGCTACTCTAATTAAAAAAGAAAACAATTTACTAAGACAAAAATGTCTAGAAAGTGCTTTAATCACAGTTCATCCACTGTAAATTTGTGTCCAGTTTCTTATAGCATTTCACCATACTTAGCAAACCTGGGATTATCACGTGGGATATTTAATACCGAAAATAATGGAAACACAAATAAAAAAAAAAAAAAAAAAAAGAATCTAAATGAAATTGGCTAGCTTATATATCCAAAACATATATTAAAAAAAGAAAATAATTATTTCTAAATTTAAAATTTTAAAAGTGTCTCCTGTTCATGCACATGTATAGTTGCATCAACATGAATTTAGTGCAATGAAGTCCTAGATGACAAAACACACTGCACAAAACTTTTTCCGTTTTGTCATACTTCTTTTCCCTAAAATTATTCTTGATATATAAAAAAATTTATACACTGTATTATTATCTCATGCCAACTGGAAATATTTAGAAAAATACAAATATATTTAAGAATTGTTAAAATATTTACACAAAATAAATTATAAGCATAAAACTCATGACAAAACTGTTATATCATAGTGGTCAATACTCAAGTGAGTAATCACATAAACTGAATATGGGCAACTTCCATTCTTATATAAGAAGGACTATTTAGATTCTCCACTCTTCACATATCTAAATTAGACTTCCACTACAAAAATATTTGTTAATTTAGAAGTTTTAGTCAGTATAATAATCATCCTAATTTTAGGACATGTGTGTACCCAAGTATTTATATACGAGTCTCTCTGTAATTCCCCATAGATTTTAAGGAACTTTTTTTTATAAAAGAACAAACTGAACTGTTATTTAATATCAGTCCTCTTATATGGCAGTGAATGCCAGACAATCTCCACATAGATGAAGAAGAGAGTTGAAGCAACAGAAATGTGGTTCTACAGAAGGATGTTGAGAATACCATGGACCAAACATGTGAGCAACAACAAAGTTCTAGAGAGAATGGCAACAAAAAGGACACTTGTACTTAACATCAGGAAGAGACAGTTGAAAGATCTGGGTCACATAATGAGGAAAGACAACTTGGAAAATTTTATACTCACAGGACAGATTGAAGGTAAGAGAGACAGAGGAAATCAACACATAATTTATCTGGCAAGCTTGAGTGAATGGATGATGGAGCAGGATTTGGGA